TGGTTCAAAGAACCCTCTGGCTAACAGCTGATATTTTTCGATCTCGACATCATTTAATTTATGCTATCATTAGAAACTAGTAGATGATATGGTTCCTTTATCACTTTCACAAATTATACGGAAAAAATGCGAAAAATTCGTGATTAGCTTTATTGAGAGTGATATAAACATTTTATCACAAAAACTTTCGCATAATAGGGAGTGGAAAGAATCAGATGAGGAGTTTGCAGAGGTCACATCAGCAATTTTGGGTTCTCTAAATGATTCATGGAATAATCCAGCATTTAGTTCTGAGTTCACAAAATCACAAAATAAAGGTACTTATGTGACCAACGTAATTGTACCTGCTATTCAGGCTACATTAAAAGATCTTCCTTTAGGGAGGTCATCTTATGTCAGCACATGAGTTATAATATAATTAGTAAAAGTAATATTTTGAAAACTTAGATTGTCACTAATGTTCTTCTTATATAAGTGCTGAACGCCAAAGTTCAGCTAGTGCAGATAGGAAAGGTGAAGGACGAATAGGAAGATGACAAAATATCATGTTTGTGATGAAGCATGATAGAAAAAAATACGAGCTCATATATGTTGAAAGTTCACGTCTGTCTTGCACATCACAGAAGGAGATAGATGATGAAATAAAATTATGGCGTGAGGCTAATGATGGAATGTATTGGGTTCATAAATCATCTGGGCCAGATAAGGGTGAATTCAAAATTATTGGAATGCAAGTTGTCGGGCGAATAATACGCTTAAATGTTCTCATTAGAGATATGGAAAATATCTATCGTTATTATCATCTTTACTAAGCAGAAATTCCTGTACAACCATCTGATTCATCCCTCGTAACAAATTTCGTAAAGACTTTACTGATTTTACAGAATATTCTCATAGTTAATATGTCTTTACTACTTAATGCACCCTCAGTTAGATCCAAAAGAAATAAAAGCAGTTCAAATGTAAATTCTGAATAGATAAGATTATATATATAGTAAATTTATTATTTTTTTCTTTATCAATAAAGGGACTCTGGTAGTCGATTTCGCAAATATACAATCATTTTTTTTCATATGAGAATAATAATATCTTGGCAAAAGTGATCAGCGTGAAGATTCTTCACGCTCATGTGATTTTTTTATTTTGAATGCTTATGTACAGTGTATAGTTTTATAGATCATGACATCAGAGCTTGAATTATTGAGACAATGAATTAGCAAGCTTGAGACTAAGAACACTAAGCTTGAGGCTGAGAAAGCTGAGATTGAGACTAGGAATGTTGAGCTTCTAAAGCAGGTTATGGATGAGAATGCTAAGCATGATGCTAGAGTCGAGGAATTAGAACTAAAAAATACGGAACTTGAGGTCAGATTCTTGATGTTGGAACAGGGATCCTCAGTAGTGAATGAGTAGTCACAGAACGATAGGGAAACGATAGCAGAAATATCAGCCATTGATGAATCTGACTCTGTAATAGACCAGCAAAATAATGTCAATATCAAGTCAATAGAAGAGGTAATAGATGATTCTATTCTCGAAGAATCTGTCAACGTACCTGACTCAGTTATAGCTCAGTCCAAACAGTGTAAGCTTCCGCCTATTCACAAAGTTCATAGTCAGTTAAATTTATCAGAAGTACGAGATCTAGGGCTGTGCAATCAGAATGATTTGACTCTCACCCCACAGATCGAAGAGATAGTTTTGCTACCAGATCAAGGAGGGTCATTAGAGGACAAAAAAATAGACACTTTCTTGGATGAAAATTATAAGAAAAGGATTAGTGAGGAAATAAGACAAAAAAAAAGCTTTGAGAAGATGATTTCCAGGAGAAGAATTTGGATTCAGAGCCATTTATAGCCAATATCTCTGGTATCAATTCTCAGGATTCTGTCATTCCCTTGAACGAAAAAGATGGATAAGATGTTTATCTTGCCAGTCCATTATTCGAATCATGTGTTGCTTCGCCCAGCTTTGAATATAGTAAGGAGAGAAAAGTTCCCTATAAACAAAAAGTAGAAAAAGGTTTAGTATGTGAATTACTTGAATTTATTAGAAGCCATGAATCCTTACTGAATTCTACTGCATCTAGTAAACAAATTCCAGTCGATTCTGATCTAGCTTCAGGTTCTATATCTCATTTAGCTCACTTAATCGATAAGGCTAAAAAAACTGATCAGAAAGAAAAGTTACGTTAGTATTACTATAGTGAGGAATTCGAAAAAAAAGCCATAACTATTGTTTTGGAAAGCAATATTAGTGATCAAATGGCAAGAACTCAGATTTACGATGAAATGGAGCTCTACCTTTCAGGTAAGAAGAGAGAGAATTTACGCAAGATGACTCAAAAAGCTAAAAATATTTATACACTATTTAAAGTAGTAGGAATAGATAAAATCAGATTAGTTACATATAGTATCGATACTATTAGAAGTTTAACGGGTACACAATTTCAAAATAAAATAAACCTTTACACTGCAGAATGTCAAAAAGTGATTAACATGAAGAATTCTGAGGTAAGCATTTCAACCGCTCCTATTCTTTCATCTCATGTCTCTAATTCTCCAGATGATTCCTCTGGAATTAATTCAAAGAATTCGCCTATATTACAAAGTGATCAGCTCATTCCACTCTAGAAGAAGTTACCAAAATGGAAGCGTGATAAGGTTATTGATTTAGTGATAAACTGATTCAATAGAACTACCTTATGTCTAGACCTTCATGCCAGTATGGATAGGGAATGTGTTAACTAAGTAGATTTTTACCTCATCCAAGATATGCAAATCTGCCCTATATGCAAAAAAAAATCATTACTATCTAGAAGACCACTGGTTGATCGATAGTGAAGGTAGTGAAAAATATTATTTGATTTGCGATAATATTCAAGAACCCAGAATCCCACTTAATGAGGTGTTAACACCATATTCTGAAAAAACAAGTCCGGATAGCTGGAATCATCTTCTTAAACTTCCGAATAGAGAGGTAACAGTAAAATCATAGGGAATAGCATGTTATGTATCATAGGCATCATCTCGATTTGTATTATTTTTTTGTGTATTGTGTCATACTACTATTAATAAAGTATATTTGTCTTAACGCTTCTAACGAGATATATATTTATCCGCATAGGACCAGGGAGTGACCAATGGTCAGGATGTCACGTGAAATTCTTGATCAGAGCTAATTTTGTGTCTAGCAGTTCTTCTGAATTTTTTTTTTTTCAGAGCTGGATAAAGAATAGCATTATGTAATTTCACAGTAATAGCACGGTATTAATATGGTATTTTTTTCAGATCTAATAGTAAAATATATTATTCGACAATGGTATTAGCGCGGTATTTCTTAAATAATAGTTATGAATCTGCAGGAGATAGCTAAGCGGATCTGTCTGGGATAGTGTTAGGAATTATTTCCTTTAAGAAGGTGGGGTGTAAAAAAGGAGACCTAGTATGATTGAGCGATAAGACGCTCAGAAAAAATGTTTATATATATACCATATGATTAGTATAATCACTAAAGCAAGTATTATGAGTTCGAATATAGGCAGAAGCATATACTGATTATCAACTAAAGCCTTATCAGCTCCGAATACAACAATGGACAATGCTGAAATACTATCATGCTTTTCTTTTGATTTTTGATCAACATGAAGATGGTCTAATTGGGACCTTATCTCATCTTTTACTTTGCTTTCATCAGGTTCAGACTCTGAGCAGTGTGAAAAAAAATGGGATACCTCTTCTACTGCTTCACCTCGCTTAGCCAAAGGCGCTAAAGCATAATCATTGGATGATGAAACT